AAACTAACTTAAGAGGCAGCACTGGACAGGGACTCGGGAGCTAGGTGCTATTCCCAGTCAGTTCTTTGCCATTCCTCCCATACAAGCTACCTTGTGTTGTGAGTAAATCCCAGCTCCCTCTCTCTTCACAGCTCAGCCCTTCCTTAACTTTAGCTGTCAGTTCAGAAGTGATCACTGACGCCTTGAGCCTGAGTGCCCCAAAATTCCAGCAAGCGTCAATGGGAGCTACAAGCGCTCAACACCTGCTTCTTGTTAGCTTGTCTCCCTGCTATGCCTAGCATCACCCTCCCACTGCCAGGGGCCCCAGCTCCATTTAGAAGGTAACTGAACGCACCCTCCCCCCTTCTTTCACTTTACCTCAATATGGAAATGTCACATCAAATATTGGGCCCCAAGCCTGCAGCTTCAGATCAGTCTTGACTCCTACCCCATGCCACTCTCTTGAGGTTTGGAACAATTACCCCCCAAAACCAAACACAAGGGGCAGTGGAGAGACCCGGGCTAAATATTTTCTCTGAGAGCAAGCGACCATAACTCAACACTTGAGTCATTTCATGTTGCTGTGCTGCAGTTTCCCCATCTGTAGAGTGGGGAATAACAAGAGTCTCCTTTTTAAATGGCTTTGAGATTTATGAGGTGTGATAGAAGAATATAAAGTCTTGTGGTAACAGGACATGTACTGCCATCTGCATTACATTATTTTAATTACAGCTTTTAAACAGGCTTCACTTAACTTTGCCTTTTGCCGACAAGTTACCCAGGGATGAAACAGATCACGCCACTCTTCAGTGTTAAGAACTGATGCCATAATAGATGCACTATGAATAATGATGCTACTTCCTTACCCTTGAGTGCCATCTGCTTCCTCGCTCAGAGCTTCCCCTGTTGTGTCAGGATTCTTTCCATTACTAAGATCAGCAGTTGTAGGAGCACAATATGGAACATTTAACATTAGATTTCCACAAATCACTTCTATGTAACTGAGGTTTTTTTTTTCCCCCAGCTGATCCTCTTCGTTCAAGAAACAAATGGATCACACAAGTAGTAAGGCGCTATAGACAACTATATACATACATACACTCTCACACGCATAGCATCCAAAAAACAAAGTTAAAAGAATGTTACGATTGGAGAATCAAGCATTCAAAAGTTAGATACCAAAATTAAGATGGTCTGTGTAATCTTAATGTAGCCCCCTTGTGCATATCTATTATGATCAAGTGATTAGGAACCATCATATACTCTATTTCCCACAGGATCCGACACTCAGGAAATGACATGAGATTAGCAAAATGGGAAACTAACCAAAGAAACCTCAGTGGTCATGAAACGGAAGGAACAATAGCACTTGCTGGACACACGTACACTACAAGTGTATCCAGGGCTGGCTTTAAGACATGCGGGGCCCGATTTGAATACCCAGCGGCGGTCCGGGTCTTCAGCGGCACTTTGGCGGCGGGGGGTCCGCTCCGCGTCACTGAAGGACCCCCCGCTGCCAAAATGCGGCTGAAGACCTGGAGCAGATTGTCACCAGGTGAGTAAAATAAATTAAAAATTTGAAAAGGTGCCTAAGGTGTGGGGGCCCAATTCTGGGGAATCGGTGGAATCAGCCTAAAGCCGGCCCTGAGTGTATCCACAGGCAGTCAGTCACTTCACTCCTGACCTGGCAAAGCCCATATATCTTCCACTTGTGGACCGCTCTTGAATATGCATCAAGGAGTAGACCCTCAGCTGGAACACGTTGTCATAGGCGGTTGACTTCAAGCGAAGTGTGATCATTTACACTAGCTCAGAATCTGCCCCCAAAATGTGACCTAGCTTTGTGATGAGAAAAAACAACTGGGACCTAAGATGACAACCCCATCAACTTTTGTTTTCACTTGTTACCCCAGGCAGCCTTTCAGTTCACTAAGCCATTGCCGCTTCTATCTCCAGGGAGAGATTTTGGTATAATTTATCTTGGCCGAGCAGATCCCACGGCTGCTGTGTGACAAAGCACTGCGACAAAACTTTTGCGTTCACGCTGTAATTATTCCATAAGGGCAATGACCCTTTCGTGCCAAAGGTATTTGCAAAGAGGAACGTTTTGGGTGATTGAAGCCAGAGACACAAAAGAATTTGCCATGCTGGAATAACAATTTGATCCTTCAATTCCCATACTTTACCCCCTAGCAATTACTAATGCTTCCTCAAGCTAACAGTCCCCTTTCCCTACAGTAATGCACCAGCCAGTAGCATACCTAGAGATGGGGGATTTCCTTCCTGATCACTGCAGCTATCAATTCATGCCCTGAATCACAGAGGTTGGATTAACCCTATTTTAAAGAGTGCATAAAGTGAATGTTAGTTTTGATGATAAAATAATATCTGGGTCCCTTTTTTAAAATTAAATTTATACTTGATTCTATTGCAATTGTTTGCCTTGGTCACTAGCCTTGCCCACACCCACAGCACAGATCCACCATGCATGCGTCATGGCATACTGCTTCATTAAAATGACCTGTGTTATAGTAATTGCCAGAGTTACTTGTCCTGCTCCAAAGACAGTGCGTTAATGAAGGTGTGATCTGATTGCCTTGCCCTGATGAACTCCTGACAGGTTGCAGCCCTAAAGACAAACAGATTATTTCAAGCAAATAACTAGTAAAGAAAAGCAAGGACAGGGGTGGGGGTGGGGAGGGAATCTCAAACTATCCAAACACAGAGCGAGTTTAAAAACACCTGGGAGCACCACGGAGTCAAGGGGTGCATTCATTTCCAGGCACAGAACAAACAGCTATGGGCATATGCAGCAGGATGTCTGTTCCCAGCAAAATTTTCAAACAAGGTTAAATGGCATATAAAAGCTCCAGGCACTTATTCAAATGTAAAACTCACACTGACACTTCTCACAGGGATAAATAATGAAACCACAAGTAAGCAAGTGAATAGCTCCAACTAAACTGCTCCATATAGGTAGAGCATTGGGCTCAACTGGGGGAGATTCTCTGGCCTGCCTGATGCAGGTCAGCTTAGACAGTCATAATTGTCCATTTTCCCAGACCAGAAGTGCTGTGTGGGGCTCGAAAGCTTGATTCTTTCATGAACAGAAGTTGGTCCAATGAAAGTTATCACCTCACCCATCTTGTCTCTCTAATTGTCCTTAGGCCTTAATACATGAATTTCACACACACTTCCTTCCTCTCTCGGTGACAAGCCAAAATGCCGACCCAGATGGAATCTTGATGGGTCCAATCCTCAGGTGCTATAATTCAGTGCATCTCCCTTGAAGTCAATGCATCAGCCGAGGTAACGGGGGTCATTGGGAGAAGATGGCAGAATGCTGGTTGGAAGGGGAAGAAAGCAACGAGAACTGGTTGAGTTTGTGACTGCTCTATCTGCTGGTGGAGTATATCCCACCTCTTACGAAAGAGGCTCATCAACTTGGGACTTCTGCACCTCTTCCAGAGCCGGCTCCAGGCACCAGCTAAGGAAGCAGGTGCTTGGGGCGGCCAATACAAAGGGGAGGCCCTCCGTCCGCTATTGGGGCAGCCTATCTGGGTCTTTGGCGGGTCCCTCAGTCCCTCTCTTTGGGATACCACCAAAGAGGAAGCGAGGGAGTGAAGGACCCGCTGCCAAACTGCCGCCAAAGAATGGAGCAATGTGATTGGGCTGCTGCCGAAGCACCACCGATTGGCTTTTTTTTTTTCTCTGCTTGGGGCAGCAGAAAACCTAGAGCCGGCCCTGACCTCTTCCATGACTACTTTCGGATTGCCAGCTAGTGGCTCATATGCTGCTTCCCTTCCCTCCCCTCCCCACTTCACCTCCCTCTGCAATGACCCAAGAGGCTGGATGTACTTGCTGTAAGAATGCTTACCACTGTCAGCCGTGCTGGGCAATCAAAGCATGATTTGCTTGGGGCTAACCCTTGACGATCACTCAAAGACTTCAGCTTAAGACTGGTGTAACCAGAAGACATCACCTTTGCCAGGAAAAGGCCACCAACCCTTTGTAACATGGAGCCCCCCTCATGGGCCTGCTTGTTTTTGGCAACATCTTGTTAGCCACAAACCACTTCATTACCCTAACAGATCGATTGTGAGGACCCCAGCTATGGGTGTGTGTGTGTGTGTGGGGGGGGGGGGTGTCTATTGCAGCTCTGTCACACCACGCCTGGTGACTCTGTGCCAGTACTCTGAGAGGTTAAGAACATGCCTTCAGCAATCCATCCTTCAGCAGGCTTTGCATTCAATATTACCATAGGCTTTTGGAAATACGTATCTCCATGCACTTCAAGACAGGTCGCTCATCATAACTTTGCTGCCATCTTAGCCATGTCTTGACATCTGTTGCAGCCTCCATTTACCCAACAATGAAAACCTGATCTATGGTAAGAATTTGGGAAGGATCTCTACTTCCTAAAGCCACAGGCAGAGACTAGTGATGGCCCAAGTCCAACCTTGCCTCTGAAGGCACTGTGTGCTGGAGCTTTTGCTCTCATGGCCCCTAGGATAAGGTACTTTCCCCTGAACATCTGCCTCAGCACTCTTAAAAAAAAAAGAGTGGCCCAAATGCGTAAACTGTCCCATATGGGCACCCTGTATCCATGTGGATCCCTAATGGGGACCTACCTGCATGAAAAAGATTACAGTATCAGGCTCCTTTCTAACAGGTCATTTTTCATGTCAACTCCTATGTGAAGCCATCTGTTTTTTAAATGATCCCTCCTCCAGTGTTTAGTGTTGTTGGCATTTATATCTGGATTGGAAAAGTACTTTGTTTTATTTCCTGCATCCAATGCACCATGAATTTATTTCCTTTAAAATTTTCTCCTTAAATTTATTCATGGGGAAAGGAGAGATAACGTTGAGTTTTACGGCACACTTGTGATGTCTGCCCGGCACCCCCAATGATCTGGGGATGGAAGCAAAGGAGGTGCATTTAACAAACATTGCAGAGGTCACAGGAGACTAGAAATCATTCGCACCTTCAATAAAAAAAACTCTATAGACGGCTGAAGGTAATTTTTTCTGTGTTAATTTAATCATACAAATATTCATTTATACATTAAAGGAAAAAGCTTCCTTTTTTATTATCCCCAATGTGCTATCATCAGACTTCTCCCAGACTCAATGAGGCAACACGCCATCCTGTTCTACACATGCACTCCCCCCAGAGGGAATAAAGTCAGGCTGCAGAACCAACCACTCACTCACACAAGAAAAAAAAACCAACAGAAACAGGGGACAGTGTGTATTTCCTAGCCCTGCAGACTCAGATTATGCTCACACCCATGGGGTCTGGGATTGCACTTGCATCCCCAGTTGTGGGGTCCCAGACATCTCCCAAACCCTGGAGGTTTCAGGATGCACTCTTTCCTCCCCCCCCCACTCACCCTCCCAAGACATAGGGCAGCAGATACTTTCTGCCATGCCAAAGCAGGCTAGACACCTCTTCCCAAGTACAGAGTGCCTTTCCAGTCAGAGGGGCGCAAAGCTTACCCAGGCTTTCCCAGCCATGGGACAGGGTATATTTGCAACCCAGACTTGAGTCACATAGTGAGACACAGGGGTTATCAGGCGTTTCCGGACTCAACAGCTCACACCACGCTTGAGGTTCCATGTAAAAAAACAAATATGTATTGGAAGTTTAAACTTTCTTTTTTGAAGAGATCTCCATTTGCTGTGCCCTCTCAGGACTCCAAGACCCTCCTCCCCACAACAGCAGCAGCCAGGAAAAGGGATCAGAACCAACTGCAGCCCCTCCATAGCTACAGCCTGTCTCAAACCAGTGGGTACCAGCCCCTTTGTTCCCAAAGTCAGGGACACCAGCCTGGGTTGGGTAACACAGCATAGGGCAAGCTTTGTTGGGCCTCTTCCCTTGCCCAGCAGTCTCAGGCAGGTAACCATTTGCTGAGGCTCTGAGACCTAGAACACATTTTAAAACATGAGTGCCTAAAATTAGGCATGTGATTCAGTCTGGTTTTCAGAGGTTCTCCCTGCTGAGATCAATGAGAAACTTGGGTGCTTAGCACGTCTGAAAAAAATCTGGCTATTTTTGGTTTAGGTGCCTAATGTTAGCCCCCCTCCTGCCTTGAAAATGTTGCCCCTAGGAAAGCAGTGCAATTTCAGCCCCAACTATGACTAGCTGAGACCTTTGCTGAGCACCCCTGAAATCCTCTTTTGAGAATGTTGCAAACTTAAAAGTAGCTTAAATTTGGGGACTGGGTGCATCGCTGAGTGCCAGGGGACTCAGTTTTCACTGGAGAGAAGACACAAGAGGCAGATTAATTACCAGTTTAAACATCTTCCCTTCGTCATCACACGAGGATTATCACACTAACCAACACCCTGAAACAGTTATGAGCCTTTTGCAGTTATTTATAGAGAGATCATCCCCGCTGATAAGGGTTGTGTTTATGCTCCAGACCGATTTCCTAGGAAACAGCTGTAATAGGCCAGCGTTAACAGGCTGACTTATTGCAACTGCAGCTCAAATCAAGCCCTGCCTTTCTTCACTCTGTGAACAACCCAATCACAAGGGCACGTAGACTTAAACAGGCTCAAGAGAAGAGACAACATTGAGATCTGTGCAGAATGGACTGAAAAGGCACAGGAACAACTAGGGGTGGACGCTAGCTTTCTCTAGAGAAAGGAACAAAATACAATCTTTGCACTGGTGACAGGCGGATGTAAACATGGCCATCAGTTTGCTCAGGTGAAGCCTACTTGCCTGGGAACAGCAGAAGAGAAAACGAGAGTCAGGCGAGGTGGCTTTGAGGGTCACCCAGCGGCCCCTGCCAGTAAAAGGTTTGCAGAGTTCTAGGCCCAGTGGCGGCAGCAGTCAGAAACCCAGGACTCCTTGTTCCTCCTCCTCTACACAACAGACGGATGAAGCTGATGTGAAGAGACCAATGAGCAGCCTTGTCACCTCAACTAACAGCAACACTTCCAGAAGGGACGCACGGGAGTGGGGATGCTACATGCTGGGTACTGGATGTGCATGTGGTCATGCCTTGTATGCTTGTCATGACAATTCAAACCTTGCCCACACTTCACCATGACGGTTTACACACTTGCTTCTTTGTGACTTGTGAATAACATATCTCGCCCACAGCAAGAGGGATTTTACAAGACATATACAGGGTCTTATGACTACAGCTAACCAAATGCAGCCTCCACCTCCTAAACTGCATTCAAAGCACAAACGTGGATCTGCACCCCCTTCTCCAAGTCTAGCAGGCAGCCATCCTGCCACAAGTCTTCAGGTTAACTCCCCAAGCCAGGCAGGACCTTCCTCCAAATACCCCGACCTTCTTCGTCCAAGGGGCGATCCATTACAACTCTGTCCCCAGCCCCATCCATGTGTTTAGAGAGAAAGGGAAACTTCCAATCTTAAAAGGGAACACGTCCTTCGAAATCCAGTGTCCAATAGACAACTAAACACCCACTAATGGAGCAATACCAGGGTAGCTGTTCACTGGGTTCTAGAGAGTACAAGTATCCAAATGCCTCACCAGGGGTCTAATTCTTCCTTGGCAGGATACCAACAATTCCCACTAACCTCAACAGGAGCTACCCATATGCCTGGGAGAATAAGGCCCATGGACACTGCACTGAAAATGAAACCCTGCTTAAGTCAACCAAACAAACACTGATGCTTGGGTGCAGACTAGGTCAGCCTAAAGCCTTGCATCGCTCTCGCCAGCAGGCATACCATGCACTCAGCTCCCAACATGAATGGATAGTTTGGGATGGGGAGTTTTGGAGGAGGAGGATGGGGGACGTTGCATATTATTGTATCTTTGGCAGATGGCTGTTACGGCCTGGTTCAAGTTTCTGAATTAGTGCCTCCCCTCCAAAAAACCCATTCTCTTCCCAAGTACCTGGGTTGCTTGGCTCACAGTGACCCAACGCCACAAAGTCTGAAACAGAACTCCGCCACCCTCCGCAACGGCTCTGCACGGTCTCATTTGCACATGGCTATCATTCCTCCGAGGACGCTCACAGCTAAGTGACCCTCATGTCCAGAAAAGCTCTTCCTCTTCTGAACAGGAGGCTTGAGGAGACCCATCTAGAAAGCTAGAGCCTCAAAGAAGCTACAGGCCAGTAAAAAGGCGAAAGAATACAAGGCGCTACTGTGGAATCCAGCTGATGATTCAACTTCTTGCTCTACTTCAAAAACAATTGGCCTCTGCCTCCTAAGCTAGCACTTTAATCACAGGAGAGAGGAATTAAAATGATACTTCTATAAAAAGGGGAGGGATGTGAGGTTTAAACCTAAAGGGACAGGACTTTTGTAAAACTTTATAATTACTGTTTGGTGAACTACAGCTACAGAAAGTTAATTTCCTCTTGGCACAAGACAGATACACTTGCCTGGCTGTCCTAGGCACAGCTACTGGACATCAATATTTGACAAACAAAACAGCATTTTAAAATACCAATCATTTAGGACCTGCTTTGGAACTCTAGTAAGTCTGTTTCTTACTGAAATACGTGTATGTATATTTCAAGTTCCAAGAGAAAAATAAACCTCGCAGGTAAACGCAATGCTGGAGTCCTCCCATTCTAATGCAACAGTTTGGTCTTCACTGAGGTTTCCAATAACACTAAGGTCAAAAAGGAAACAGACAAAAACTGAAGATTAAAAGGTTGATAACTAAAAACGGCTGATATCACTGAAATTCACAGAGCTGGATGCTGGCCCAATCGCACATTGAAAACATCCAACATACAAAGAGAAGTCACTGCATGAACCCCAGAAGATGCTAAGCGAGCTCCCGTTCTGTAGCAAGCAAACACGACAGTTCCATAAAAATGCACTCTGTCCCTTATTAAAAAAAATTATGAACAGGAAACAAACAAAAAAATTAAACATTTGCTCAAACTACAATCGCTCTGTAGGCAAAATAATTACTTTTTTTCTTTTAAAAAGATGGCTTTCATTTTAATTTTTTAAATTTTCAGCTACCTAATTAATTGTGATAATGACTTCTAAAAAAACCCATGGTGTTGGTGTATTTTCTCTTTCTCATAGCATTGAACAGCACTCCTAAAATTCAGCATTCACACATGCATACTTTAGTTTTGTTTTCCTCTGGAAACCACTAGTCTTAAGTTATTGGTTTTTGTTTGTTTTCTTCTTTATCCAGGTTGCGGAGGCAGAGAAGGGGATCCATGCCGTGTCTTCTATAAGCCATAAGAACCCCCCTCTGTCCCCCATGAGTCAGTTCTTTGTTAAATTCTCCTCTTGACGGTACCCGTTTTTTTGTTTGTTTTTAAGACTGTCCAAAGGGATAAGGACCGTGGAAACCCTGAAAGAAAGTTGGAGACAAAATCAGTTTCAATAGACAAGCGACTAAACCAGCTGATCAGTATCAGCTTGCAAAAAGCATATCTACCCTCTCCACCCTATCCCACTGCTTGCATTTACCTCCTGCATTCTTCATCCCACATCAACTGACCACCTACTCCACATCCATGTGTAATCCATGCTAACACTCCGCCTCTGCCTCCCTCTAGCACCTAGATCAGATATAGATGCCTTTAAGCTAATGGGTCTGGTCCTGCTTTTAAGATCCACAGATGAACCCACGGGACATCATTACACATGCTTCCAGCAACTCACCTCCGCCCCATCATTTAGCCCTGACAATAGTCAGTTAACATGACTGTATGCTCTTCTGCTGAAGGCCACTTTTTGATCTTCTCTATACCGGGGATTTCAGTTACGAGTGAAACTGCCGGAGTCCAAACCCCTAGCATTTGTGCCCACGAAGCTTCCCTCTGTTTGAAACCAGGGTAAAGATGCACCAGTGCAATTCATCGTTTCCCTAGTCCAGTGTTTCCCAAACATGGGACGCCGCTTGTGCGGGGAAAGCCCCTGGAGGGCCAGGCCGGTTTGTTTACCTGCCACGTCCGCAGGTTCGGCCATCGCAGCTCCCATTGGCCGCAGTTCGCTGCTCCAGGCCAATGGGAGCTACTGGAAGCAGCGGCCAGTACGTCCCTCGGCCCGTGCTGCTTCCAGCAGCTCCCATTGGCCTGGAGCAGCAAAACAGCGGCCAGTGGGAGCCGCGATCGGCCGAACCTGTGGACGCAGCAGGTAAACAAACCGGCCCGGCCCGCCAGGGGCTTTCCCTGCACAAGCGGCGTCCCAAGTTTGGGAAACATTGCCCTAGTCTATACTAGGGTATCGCAGTGGCACAGCTAGGCCAGTGGCTGAAAATAGGGCAAATTCCCAATGTACATATGGCCTTTGTCTCCTTCTATAAACACTCCCCACTGTCACTGCTCCCACCTGCTATGAGGAAGCTTTTCCTCTCTGACAATTTTAATTCCCTCAAGACTGAGACTTGACATTTCTAGAATACACATTTTTCTTCAACGGAAACCAGGTGCCTCCAAAAATGGGAAACGTTTAATAGCTTGTGTTTTCCTCGTGAACCATGAAGTGAAGATATTTAAGGTATCAGATCTAGTAGCAGGAGGTCTGAAACTAACAAGGACACTAGTTCTGAATCTCCCATGCGCTAATCAAGCTAACTTTGATGCATTTTATCATACATAAAAAGAAAGACTCAACAGTGTTGAGACTTCTCTATAAATCAGAGGTGCACAGTTTACTGAAAGAGCTGCACCAATTAAAGTCCAATTTTTTTTTTAAAGGAACATGAAACAATGCCAAGGAAAAATAAGAAAAAATGCATTATGCTCGGTTACCCAGAGACAGAAGGTAGGTCTTCTGGCATTCTTTATACAGCCCTGCTGTTCCCCACTGTATGGATGATGTAAAAATATGGCCAATGACCTAATTAAACACCAACCCCATTGCCTGCCTTTTCAAGCAAGGTGCAAGACTGTTTTACCACTTCATTTCAAGCAGGACAACGGGCCAGAGCAGCAAAAGAAATATTGTCTCCAACGTATTTTGCTGTAACTCCATAACCAGCTTGCTCTGCAACCCATAAAAACTGGAATTGGCTGTGAAGCACTGAGATGTTTGCGTATGACTCATACCAAAAAGCCCTGATTATATTGGCGTAAGTCTGGTAGGATGGGCTGGGTCAAGCTGCAAACACACCTTAAGTCAAAAGCCCTATTGTATCTTTAACTACATCTTAGAAAGTAATGATCAAGTGCTGATAAGAGTTTAACCACAGTTAACCAGGCAAGAGTAATTCCCTGGGCTATGCAGTGTCAGGGAACACCACATGACACCCATAAAGCAAAGTAAAGTATCTTCCAGTGACTCAAAACTATTGCTGAGTCCAGCATCTATCAGGGGAGAATGGTTAGTGGAACATTAGGCAAGAGCAGTATCTCGTAACTTCAGATTAGTCTGTAAGGGCCAGATTTTCAAATGGGCCTTACAACCAACATCTTTTCTTCGTGTGTTGGCAAACAAGGCCACTTGTGATATAAGGTAGGAGCAGACTGCTGCAGCTCATTTGATAAAGATGCATTGAAAAGCTGAACTGAAAAGCTTTCGGCTGCCAAGATCTCAGTGTTGTCCGCACCAAATGGCAATATTGACACCTAAAGTAGTTTAAGTAAACCTCAGCTGTCCTCCAAGTTGATTTAACTAAACCATTTTGATCCATGCACCTAAACTAGCGCAGCCACCTTTGCGAGATATAAGAGATCAAATGAGCCCAGCTGGGACCCTAAATACATTCCACCTGTGAAACTAAAATAGGGGTCGTGAAGAAGGAAAAGGTACATGCTCTAATGATTACTCAGAGCCGCATGATCATTGTAAAAGCAGGCATTTTTAAAGTTAAATCAAAATCCCGCTTTCATCTCGGAGAGTTAATCTTTTATAAACCATCACAACACAGAAACTTTCACACAACTATCTTTATTTCACCTTTGTTTGTGGCTGAATTTAGATCAACAAAAGGTACACTTGAGTTTATAAAAAAAGACATGAGCTTTTTGATGCACGGCTGCAACGCAACACAAAAGTCTCCCAGTGTACACTGATGGCAGCATCAGATAACACTACAAGTCCCTCTCTCTTCCTCATCACTTCCTGGGCCGTTCCTGGTCAGTGCTTCTCCAAACTATCCTGAGTTCTTTTGACTCATTTACGTAAACTGAATACAAACAGAAGAACAGAGTGTTTAGTTTTATTTTTGTTCCACACATGCTATGCAAATATGATGAGACAGCTACGACCACTGGGAAAGATAATCTTCCTACAATGCAGCTGTCCTCCAAGTTGATTTAACTAAACCAGTTAATTGCATCTACATTAGTCTTTCAACAGCCAGGTAAGACAACTCCTGGGTCCACAGAGGAGGGGGATAAAACAGTTTAACCTGCAGACACTAATAAGCAGCAGTGTGATTGTCCCAGGACAGTGGCTAATAGCAATGCTGAGCTTGTGGCTTCTCCACACTTGATCTAAGTCAGTTCAACTATAATGGCAGTCAACTAACCCAGTTTGGAGAATAAATATCTAATTCAGGCTCAAACTTTGTGAACAATGGGAACATACCCACTCTCCAAAGGGGGGGGGGATCTAGAATCGAGAACAGTGGTTCTCAAACTGTAGGTCACGACCCCATTTTAATGGGGTCACCAGGGCTGGCTTAGACTTGCTGGGGTCCAAGGCCGAAGCCCAAGCCCCACTGCCCAGGGCCAAAGCCCAAGTCTCAGGGCTTTAGCCCTGGCAACAGGGCTCAGGTTACAGGCCCCATGCCTGAGGCTGAACCCCTTGGTCTTTGGTACCCCCAGGGCAGCAGAGCTTGAGTGGGCTCAAGCTTCGGTCCCCCCTCCTGGGGCCGTGTAGTAATTTTTGTTGTCAGAAGGGTGTTGCGGTGCTATGAAGTTTGAAAACCTCTGATATAGAAGATACGAGAGAGTAACAAGGTGCTATTCCTTCTCCACCATAACGCTGGAGCCAAGTAAGCTGCCTATACAATTTCAGCCTTTGAGAGTCCAAGAACCAAGGTACCCATCTGGAACTCATAGGGATGGCCCGTTACCACCAAACTGGAGCATCAAGGTTAGGAAGGAGTTGATCAAACCATTGGGAGTGGAGGGAGGGAGAAATATACTACAGAAGTAGTACAGAGTGCCTCTATTTAGTGTTCTAATAAATCATATTGGCATTTTATTAAATTCTACTGACGTTTTTAGAGAAAGTGAGTCTCCTTACACATGATTTTGGTTCTCCAAAGATCATTATACATCCACACTCCATGGCCTGCACTGCCACACAGAACAGTGTTCCAAATGTTTTGTGTGTGAAATTTCAAGATGCTTGCCTGCCTCAGTGGCAGATGGTATGTCAAGTTGTCACTAGGGCCTTATCTACACTAGGGAATTTTAGAAGACAATTTACACCTGTTCAGCTGCACTACAGGGAGTCTTAGCACAGACAAGACTCTGGCAACTTCTGACACTTTTTACACCAGCAGGTTTAATCACAATCTCTGTTATAATCTGGAACCTGCCAGAGCTTTGGCTAAAGAGATACTTCCACTGGTACTGCTGAACTGGTTGGAATTATCCACAAAATTTCCTAGTGTAGAGAATGCCTCAGTGACATTCTAACATTGACTTTCAATTAAACTTCGGTTCTTAAGTGCCTGCATCAATTTTAAAAAGTGGACTTAGGTGCTTTGGAAAATCTCATCCAAACCCTAGCTACCTCACCCATCCCTTCCTCCATTGATCTCGAAGTACTTAATTAAACATGGCAATGAATTCACTCCATTTTATGAGTGCAGAAAAACTGAGGCACGAGCTCACTAAGGGACTCAACAGATGACATGGCAAGTTTGTGGCAGACCCAGAAATAAAACCCAGGTCTCCTGCCGTCTAACCTCATGCTCAAACCATTAGACAACAGCTCTCCCATTTTGTTCCACTATGTTAAGTCACCGCCACCTGGGATAAAGCCTTCTCTGCTAAGAACATGAGAGCACAAGAATCTAGCAATTTTAAAGTATCCATATAGTTTCCCCTTTCCCCCAAAAAACTACTCAGACACACAGAACAGAATCCAACCCCCCCCAGAGGAAAGGAATAGCCAGATGGAGAGGCAGAGTGACAAGTACATGCACACCATGTGCTGGTGAAGTGGTTTAATACTTCTGAAGTTTCCCTAAGGAGCCCTCCACCTCCCTTTAAACAGCCATCCAAGTGCAGGGTGAATCTCTTACATGTTATTCCTCCCTAGGGAAAAAACGTTTTTAAAGAAAGATTTCCAGCTTGCAAGAAGAGGGTGACAGCACTGGACCTAAGCAAATTTTAAATGTGGGTCCAGAAACTCATGGTGTCAAAGCTTCTGCTTTACTTGACACACTGTCTACAGAAACCATTCACTGGAGAGGAACTGTGATCATGTGAATCCAGGGACACTGGATGAACGGAGAAGTTTCCTGATGATTTCTGGGAATGGAAACCCAGTTCTGAACTCCTTTCTCCCAGGGCAGAAAAGGTAAGGCAGCTTTTCAAGGCAAAGTGCTTAGTCTAGCAGCCTTGGGCATTGGTTGGTCTTCAGAACAGCCCTGGTTTGGAGGAAACCAGTTGCCTATTTTATTAAGCCCTAGATAAAAGCGCAGGGCATAAGGCACCTCAGTAAGTGAATGAATCCACACACACCAAACCCTCCACCCCCATTCCAAAAACACCAGCAAGATCTCCTCTTAACCAACAGACAATGGGGCTGTAATAACAAAACTTCTGCCACAGATTTGGGGTGCTTTGCATCAAAATCAGTCACAAAAGTTTTTTTTTGTTACATTTTTTATTTCCACAGTTACCCTATTTAGGATCACAAAATGATATAGTAGCTACTCCCCAGTTGGAGCTTTCAGATCTTCAACCGTATCTTGCACCAGTTTAGTCCAAACCTGAACAGCAGAATGGAAAAGGAAACAGAGAGGAAGAGTTCAGTAGATCTGATTTTTGAAGACCGCTTTTGGAAAATTGGAATCCTTCTGGCAATGAGAACTGGAGCTACGACATTTGTCTGGGTAGGAAAAGATCAGCCTTGCAACAACAGGAGTATTTGGCACTAACATGCTTGCAGGAATTCTGAAGCCAAGAGGTTAAAACTAGTTTGTACCTTTCACTAATATTTGATCAGACCATTCACTTGGGATAGGCAGGTTACTATTGAGCTGACAATCAGCCCAGTGTATTTCAAACAAAAGTAACAAGCCAGATTTATGACTTCAAGCAAAGCAGGTCAGCATATACCTGCTTGGCTACCACGGAAGTTCTCAAACAGAGGTGGGAACTTCAAGGATATGAGATGCAGAAGGATTGGTCATTCTCTCCTACTGCTTCTCACTTGGCACATCCCAGAGTCTCACAGAGCTTTTGATTGTGAATGTAGTGTCCCTCCCCAGCAAAAACCACCATGCAGTGTAGGTGTTCAATTCCTGATGGTGATAGATCACACATGCATCCAGCTTTCACAAGGTAATGTGTGTGAAGCAGTCTTAGTTTGTTCTGCCAACCCAATAATAAATTCTGGATGTGACAAAAATATTCCACCTGCATTCCCAAAATGCTGTCAACACGCAACAGACTCTGCCAGGAGCTTCCCACCAGCTTTGTCAGCCATTTCAACACACAACAGGCTGTCATTTTTGCTTCCTTTAGAAAAGGTACCAAATACAGTGACACACAAGCATAGATTAGCAAAGAGGTTCCTGCAATTGACAGTCTCCTGCTGGAAAGTCACCTTTTAAAGTGTCGAGGTAGTGTTTAGATACCAATTTACCATGGAAAGAACAGCACATGATCAATAGCACAGAAACTCTTTAAGGGGCCTGTATTCTAAGCAGGAGGTAATCAAATTAAGTAATATTAAGGCCCAGTCCACTTCAGCTTCTGTCAAAAGACAGTGGAAATCTCTTGGCAGCCTGAAACAAAACTCTGAGCTTTGTGCACAAGCACTGCAAGACAAGACCAGATTAGTAGGCTGTGATCATTTTCCGTGTTGGGAAAAGAAACCATGATAGTTGGTTAGCCCTCTGAACTATTATTAGTTACCTTTTGGCTGAAAGCAGACGAGGGATCTTTTATGATGTTTATCACAACAAGTCAGAAGCAATGGATAAGCTAAACTCCAGTCAATCAGAAGAAGGAATCACTAGAAGACAGGTTGACCACCGTACACATGCCTCCTGGGACTAGATTAGACTGACTCATGTCAAAACAGATCATGATCCAAATGGATAGCAATGACAAACTAGCCCAGATTGTTGAGATGAATGTAACCCTTGCCCATGGAATTAGCCCCTTCTTCCTTTAGCTTTGCTCATCCAAGGTGTAGCTCCTGTCTGTTTCTAGCTTTGTACCACCATACTAGCTGTCACTGCCTTCCAGACAGTTAGGCAATATGGGAAAGAGATTATCCTTAAATAGCTACACCACATTTATCCCAACATACAGTAACTCCTCACTTAACGTTGTAGTTATGTTCCTGAAAAATGCAACGTTAAGCAAAACGAATCCAATTTCCCCATAAGAGTTAATGTAAATGAGGGGGTTAGGTTCCAGGGAATTTTTTTTCACCAGACAAAAGACTGTATACAGTGTGTGTGTGTGTATATATTATATATGTATACACACACACACAGTGTATATACACCTCTACCCCGATATAACGCTGTCCTCGGGAGCCAAAAAAAAATCTTACCGCGTTATAGGTGAAACCGCATTATATCGAACTTGCTTTGATCCGCCAGTGCGCGCAGCCCTGCCCCCACGGAGCGCTGCTTTACCGTGTTATATCCGAATTCATGTTATATCGGGTCACATTATATCGGGGTAGAGGTGTATATATACACACACACAGTATAAGTTTTAAACAAACAATTTAATACTGGTACACAGTGATGATGATTGTGAAGCTTGGTTGAGGTGGAGGAGTCAGAAAGTGGGATATTTTCCAGGGGATGCCTTACTGCTAAATGATGAACTAGCATTTGGCTAAGCCCTCAAGGGTTAACTCGTTAATGTAGCCTCACTCTACAAGGCAGCAGGCATGGAGGGAGGGGAGAGAGCATAGCAGACAGAGACAGACACACACACCCTGTGTGTGACAGAGAGATGCGCATTTCCCCTTTAAGTAGCTGACCCCAGTCTTAAGTATACTGTCTTGTTAATTAGATCAGCTTGCTGAGACCACAGCTGCTGCCTGGAAGCTCCCTCCGTCCTGAATCCTGTCATGTGTCCCCCCTGCTCTATGGAAATGGGGTAAGCGGGGTGCAGGAGCAGGGGGAGGGGACACACCCTGACATTAGCCCCCCACTTTCCCCCTCCCCCCATACAGCAAGCAGGAGTCTCTGGGAGCAGCTCCAAGGCAGAGGGCAGGAGCAGCACATGGCAGTGGGGGGAGGGACAGCTGAATGACAGCAACTGCTAGCCTGCTGGGCAGCTGCAGCACAGGGAACTTAGGGGAGCGAAGAGCTGATAGTGGGGCTGCCGGTCCACCCTGATTCCAAGCCCCCACCAGCTAGCTCCAACGGGCTGCTCTTCCTGCAAGCAGTGGACAAAGCAGGCAGCTGCCAAAGACGTTAGAAGGGAGCATTGCACAACTTTAAACGAGCATGTTCCCTAATTGATCATCAACTTAACAACATTAACTGGAACGACTTTAAGAGAGGAGTTACTGTACCTAGTATTTCAGTTGGGTTTCCAACACAGCTCATCAACACACTAATTTAAAGCTTAAAACATCTACACTGTTCTAGTCTGGGCTTCTTAATGAGTAGCAACTCAGTTGTGCTATACTGTATCAAAAGATATGGTTGTTTTGACTTGTGGGAAGATGCATAGCAGAGACTAAAGGACACATTTTAATAGCCCCACCTCCCTTTTCACAGCACAATTTGTTTCCACCAAAAACCCCACACCCAGATTTTTGGCACCTGTACTTTATGGCAGGTGCAAATCTTAGTAACCACCTGCCTACCCAACAGCAGGTGCCAATCAAGTAGCTAGGGTTACCATACATTCGGATTTTCCCGTACATGTCCAGCTTTTTGGTCCTCAAATCCCCGTCCAGGAGGAAAATCCAAAAAGCCGGACATGTCCGGGAAAATAGAGAGGGGTCGTGGGGCTTGGGTCCGGGCTAGAGCCGCTGGGGCCGGCAGTGCTCGGCCGCCGGCCGACACCGCTCACCCAGGACCGGGGCTGGAGCCGCTCGGCCGGAACCGGGGCCTGAGCCAAGCTGGGCCGGGAGCTGCTGGGACCGGGGCTGGGGGTGTTCGGCCGCCGGCTGGGGCCCGAGCCGAGCTGGAGTCGCTAGGGCCAGGGCCAGAGCCGCCAGGGACCGCCACCGGAGGGAGCTGCTCGGCTGGGGCCTCACCTCCTCGCGCCCCCCGCCACTGCCCCAGCTTACCTGCTGCCTGCCTGAGTCAGGCTTCCTGCAAACATTTGATTCGCGGGAAGCAGGGGAGGGGGCGGAGCGTTTGGGGCGGGGACGAGGCAGAGTTGGGGCGGGGAAGGGGAAGAGTTGGGGCGGGGCCCCGTGGAGTGTCCTCCTTTTGTTTTATTAAAATATGGTAACCCTAAAGTAGACGTATGTAATAACCAAATTCTGCAACCAAAATGTGCAGGCACAAAATGCCCAAGCTCAGCTGAAAATTTATTCCCAAGGGTCTGTCTATACTGCAAGCGAAAGCGTGATTGGTCACAGGTATACCTTCCGTACATGTGGTGGCACGGACAAGCAACCGGAATACATACCCAGGGACTCTGCAGGACTCCGGCTGCTAACCCATGCCTAAACCCATGACACCACATGTACTCTGCTACAGTTACCCATGGTAGCTAGATTAAACCTAGCATAGCTCTGCCTACCTTCACTTGCAAGTGTGGACATATTCTAAGACTAGGACAACCAAGTTGTCATGTGTTACATAAACTAGACTTGATTCCATCTGTAGCGGTGAAAAACTGGCAGATTAGTCCAGTATCTCAGCTAAATTAATGAGTTTTTATTTCAGTTCTTTGCATGTACTTAAAACACTCCTTAAAGGTGTCCATTTATCAATCCTGGAAATGCAGCCCTCTAGATACAGAACATATACATCACACTAATAACGACAGGTCAACTTCCCCCACATTATCCCACCAATGTGCCTCAGCCTTTTACAGCGGGACCACTTATGGGGATAAGCAGAGTTCAGTCGACAGGTACATTAGTTCTTGGACTCTCCATAGGGACTGAGTAGTGATTTGTGATAAGGCCACTGTCCACAGGGCCTGGACCAAAACACAGTAAGCAATCATCAGACAGTAAGAGCTTTCAGTCACTACTGATTAAGGCTGGATTTGATTTGGCAATCTAGAGATGAAAAGCTTTATATCATTCCCAATTCCCAGAGCAATCAAGCTCCAACTAAGGTTGTTGAGTTCCATCTTGAAGCAGGACCCAATAAGTCTCATACAACTGTTGGTCTGAGGTGTATAATATGAAGAGGGCAATTGATAGTTTGCTGTACAGTTGCATCTCCTATTTTGGTACCTGCTGTAAGTAAAAGTTAGAACAAATATGTAACCTCAGTACAAAGTGGGGTACTATAAAATGGATCCATTTGTACATTACAAGCAGTTTAACCGGTTCATCTACAGCACTGTAGTTCCTAACATTAGGACTTTATTAACGCAAACAGCAACTGAGTATTCTTGAACTACATAGCCTGTGTAAAGTACACTTAAGCATGTTTAAAGGATTTTAAAATCAACTATTCTGGACATAGGACAATACACACCTAGACATGCCTCTTGCAATAATAGGATTTTGAAGTGTAAATAATCCTGCAATTCATTTTTCACGTATTTGTACACACAAGCATCTAAAAAAAAAGTTAAAATATCACTCAAACTTATTTGTATAGCATCCATCAAGCAAGCTTCTTAAGGAGATTTTAAAATATGATTATAGAGACAAGAAAAGATCACAAACAGGAATGGTCCTCGGACTGACTATTCCTGAACAGTGGCTCCTGAGACCAAAATGTTGAACTAGGCATCCCCCTGCCCATTTGTTACAGCAAAAAAATTCTTTGGATGAATCCCAAGATGTGTAGGATGTATTTTTTTTAAATCACCTATATCTGAGTCTGAAGATATTGTGACTTTCTTTTTAACCATATTGGAGAGGGCTCCAACCACTATCAGTTACAGCACCCAGCCAAGATTAGGTTAACATCAAGAAGGATTTTAAAAATGTGGACCTAGTAGAATCTACTGGATGAAAAGGGTGTTTTATTTTGTTTAATATAAGGTGAGGAGCTGGCAGAGTTAGACGGTTTTATATTCAAATCTTAGCAGGTCAGGCGGAGACAGAAGGGAGGGCTTCACAGTTTGTAACGAAGAAGAACTATCACGATACACACCATGGTCTTGTCACCTACCCATTCTCTTGTTCTCCCAGGGCACCTACCTTACTGTACGTCACTACCGACAAGTTGTTCGAGTGACTGCTGGGGGAGAGATTTACAGAGTTTTGTGACAGTCCGTTCTGATCTTGTTCAATTTGGTCAGGAGCAGGCCCCCACGTGTTTTTGCTGATTGTGCCTAGCTCAGAACCCCCAGGGTCTTTTAGGTTGTTTTCATCTGGTTGCCTGTTCTTCTGCGGAGAGGCGAAGGGGTTAAAGTTTCCTTCTACCTTGCGATGTGGTTGTGTGTTGAATTCCGTTTCGAAGGATGACAGCTGCTGCGTTACTCCTAAAAGTCCTCCAACCTCCACGCTGAGGATCACCCAGATGACATCTGTGAAAAGGGAAGGTCATTGATGTCACTATTAGATATAGCTTACAGGGGAATAGGGAGACCACTCCTGCCCCTGTAATACAATAATAATATTTTTAACTTACTTAGCATTTTTCAACCATACATTTTTACAGTGTTTTGCAAGCATCAGGTAAGCCTAACACCTCTGAGAAGCATGCAAGTGTTCTGCCAAATAAGCAACAGTATATGCTACTCAGGACAGTAGCCAAGTATTAAACAAAAAAAAGTAATAATTGTTCTTGCAACATAAAGGCCCACACACACAGTCTAGTTTCCTATAGACTGAAAGCACCAAGAAAGTGAGACTTGCCCAAAGCCACAGAGCAAGAGTGAGTGGCAGACTGAAAGAACCCAGACGACTACTCCAGTCCTTCACTTTTCTGCTGCAGAATACGCTTATTTACATCAGCTTCGCTTACATCTGTAAGTGAGCAATCTGGCAGGGTTATGTAAATGAATGTCCCGATTTTTACATTCGTGGGTTACAAATTGTTGTAATAAGCCATAAATCTAGTGTGTCTGTTCGGTTCATGATTTTTAGTGTCTAGTAGAGTTATGAATTTAAACTCCCAGAGTCGACATTTGAAAGTGTTGTGCAGGTTTTCTTTGAGGAGGACTGAAAGGTCAGATATAGAGCAATTACTTTGTAAAAATCATTCACCCAGAGGTGATAGGGAGTTTTTCGTCTCATTTTCCTGTGTCAGTTCGAGCATGTAGTGATTGTCCGGTTTCACCCACATAGTTGCTATTGTGGCATTTAGTGCACTGCATGAGGTATACCACATGTTGTGATTGGCACCCAACAAGGACCAAAATGGTGGAGCATCTTTGGTGAAGGTGATTTTAAGTATGTTCAGGGGTATATACATGGATTGAACAAAGACACTGAATGTATGGCTTATTACAAAAATCTGTAATCCACCAATGACCCCTTTTTGTTCTATGACTGCAGAGGTGTTAACCGGCCCCTCTATCTTGAATGGTCCCTTAGAAGAGTGGTGCCCAACTTATTACACAGGACAACCACAGAAACCTAAGCACAACCTTGTGTGGGCCAAACAAATTCTACATATTTTAATAAGATTCAAAGTCACCTGCCTTGATTTATATTTTAAGTTCAGCTTGTTTCATATGTATTTAGATAGGTAGCTTTTGTGTACAGTATTGTTTATTTACACACTGGTGTAAACTAAAATGATGTAAGCATGATGACAAAACACTAATGAATCAGCCTCTAGTATATTGCGTTGAAGCAGGCTGCGGGCGTTATGAAATGCTCTGGTGGGCCATGTACGGCCCGCGAGCTGTCTGTTGGGCACCCCTGTCTTAGAATATGGGCTAACCATTTATGCTGAACAATCTGTTCCACCTTGCATTTAGCTGTGCAGCTCAGAGTGACTTTCCCAGATCTTAAGAAGAGCTGTGTGTGGATTGAAAGCTTGTCTCTCTCACCAACAGAAGTTGGTCCAATAAAAGATATTACCTCATCCACCTTGTCTCTCTAATCACCTGCTGGTTTTCCTCCAGATAAAGTTAATCTGCAAGCAGCCCAGCTGCTTGCAACAAGCTGCCAATGGCAGGCTAGGGAAAAAGAGGACAGCAGGTTCCTTTACAATTTAGTGTGGCTACCAGTGCTTCTCAAACAGCCCAATTCACAGCATGTCTCTTCTCATTTGCCACCATGCTTAGTTGACAGGGTTTAGGTGCCTTTTCCTTACTAAGTGAGACTAACGGGATTCACTAGCGCCTTTTCTGCTCCCAATATTCCTTTTTCATAGCCATCTTAGCTCGTATATGAATGCATCAGCGATCAACACCCCCATATCCTACTGTAGTGAGGCGGCCTGGGCCCCGACGGCCCCTGAGGGAGAGGAGCCTGAATTGGCA